TTCTCACATATATTTTATTCCCATATGTGACAATGGAAAAGTGTATTCTTCAAGGACATATAAAAAGATATTAAAAAAGAGAACGATAATATTGAATTAAATCAAATAAAATATATTGAGAGAATAATCAAATGAATTTTATTAATAAACAAATTTTATTTATTTTAATCTCATGGATTCAATTTATTTTTCTTAATACGTGTTGTGTTGAATAATAATTTATCAGAGGAATTTCGATTCCTTTTTATTCTTCTTCTTCTTCTTCTTTTTCTTCTTTTCTTTTTTTTTTTTTTTTTTTTAATTGGTTCTGTATTTTCTCCTAGCCAAATTTATTATTAAATAATAATATCTATTATATATCCATATTTATGATATTTTTATAATTTATTTATTTATTTATTTATTTATTTATTTATTTATTTATTTATTTATTTATTCATTTATTTGTTTTTTTTTCTTTTTTTCTTTCTTAAACATCACTCCAATATTCTCTTATAGTTAGATTCGGATTGATTAATTATACATATATATGTGTCATTGCATGGTAATGTTCGTACGAATGATCTCAACATTTTATAATGATTATTATGATGATTATCATAATATTATTTTTCGTTCTTTTTCTTACAAAAAAAAAAAAAAAAGAAAAAATCATTTAGGTCAGCAATCGACGGCAGAAAGCACTCGTGTCGATGAGATATCGAATGCAAACGACTCTCGAGGCAAAAGCGTTTCCACCTTCGATTTTCACGTGACGCGAACGTGCACTAGACAGATAAATGAAATATATAAAAACAAAAAAAAAGAAAGAAAAAAAAAGAAAGAAAAAAAAAAGATGGTGGTTTATCGAGGAACATCTTCTTCCGCACAACATTTTCGATTATACAAACTCGAACAAATTATATATGTGTATATATATATATATATATATTTATATTTCTTTTTAATAAATTTAAAAAGATGAATATCGAACAAACAGAAAATAATTAATAATAATAATAATAATAATAAAATTATAAAAAGAATACACTAATGATTTATTAATAAATGAAAAGAGAATATTTTCATGGTAATGGTATAAATAAACAAAAATCATTTGAGGAATATAGTAAAACTGAAGTTTATAATCCTATTGAAATTGTTCGAATTTATTATCATCGACGGAATTATTTCAAAAGTAAATAAATCATCTCTCGGCCTATTTTCCATGGTGGTTGTTGCGTAAGGGGATGATTTGAAAGGTCAGCTTCCACCAAGCTAAGCTCCATTCAAGTGGGAACACCGTTGATTGCATGCAAATCCTACGATTCGCTATAATAACGATCATAAAGTTACCAAGTTCGATGAAGAGAAATTCTCTCATTATATATATTTTATGGATAGAAAATAATTAGTATATTTTCTCACAATTACTTTACGATCATTATTATTTCTTTTTTTAATTTATTTTATTTTATTTTATTTTATTTTATTATAATTTTTTTTTTTCTATTATCAATGAATTACTAATAGTGATGATTATAATTTTTTTGTTTTTCAAAATTTTCTCTTTCAAGATTGTTTCTATTTTCTTTTTCTTTATTTTTTCCCCCTTTTTTTTTTTTTGGTTACCGAAAGAATTATACAAATATCATGAATAATAAATAGGAATACGTATATACATATATATGTATGTACACGTATATAAAATTAATATTACAAATAATATATTAATATTATAAATAATACTTTAGAAATGATAGAAAAAAACAAGGGAAAGCAAAAGGAAGAGGCATAAATTTGTTTTTCAAATATGAATTACACTCGTAACTCGATGAGATTAATCAATAAATTCCTCCCTCTCTCTCTCTCTCTTTCTCTTTTAGGAGCCTATTTATTCCATTTCAAAAATCGATTCAATCCACAGCATCACTTCAGAAGCTTCAATCTAAACGTTGAAGTCGACCGTGTTTAAAAGACGACGTGTGTACTTACCTTTCGGCTCGGCTTTCCAAGTTCATCGATCGCGGACCACGAAAGGAGAGACAGAGAGAGAGAGAGAGAGAGGGGGAGGGAGGAAGGGTGGGAGAGAGAACGAGGAAGAAAGAGGGCTTACAAGGCTGAAATGAAAGAAAAAGAAGGAAAGAAAGAAAGAAAAAATAAAAAGTAAGAGTAAAGATGATAGAGAAGTGCGAGACAAAAACGAGGTTGCGACGCCTCTACAAGATGTTACATCAAAATAAAAATGGAAGCACGTTCTCTTTTCAACTCTCATATTCTTTCTTTTTTTTTCCTTTCTTTCTCTTTCTCTCTCTCTCTCTCTCTCTCTCTCTCTCTCTCATTCTCACACATACACACTCTTTCGACAACCAAATGTTATAGTCACTTTCAAGGTTCCTAGCATAGAAAAAAGAAAGAAAGAAAGGTCAAGTCGACTCGAGTATACTCGAAGAATCGATCGATCGATCGAAAATAACTCAACCAGTTTTTCAATTGTTAAGAATAATTTTATAGTCAAATATATGTTGCACATACGTGGGTTTATATATGCATGCATGATTGATCATCAAAATGGTCGCATTAATATATACAGACGCATACGTACATCTCTCAGTACAATTTCTTTCTACTTTCAGAAATAAATTATTAGTTCCTTTTTGCTTTTTCCAGCGATATTACATTCTTTTTTTTTTCTTTCTTTCTTTTTTTTTTCTTTTCTTTTTCTTTTTTGAAGAAATTTAAGTTATCCTTTCGTTAGATAATTAAAACAATATGAATAAAATTTAATTTGTATTTACGTATTAATCACTTTGATAAGACAATTAAATAAATCCATATTAACGATACATTATCAATATTTTTTTTTTTTAAGTTTCTTTATTTTTTTTTTTTTTTTTTTTTTTTTACATGATTATTGACATTATTAAATTTCACCGTAATCTTAATTAGTACAATGAAATGTAAATATTCAAAAAAAAAAAAAAACAGATTGATATGAGTGTTTACGTGTATATTGATAGTCTATATGAGAGAAAAAAAAGAGAGAGAAAGAGAGAGAGAGAGAGAGAGAGACAGCTTGTTTCTCTTGTCTCTCATTAGCTTTGCATCGATGATAGACATCGTCTATTTTTATCGGGGCCGTGAGCACACGCGCGCAACCAATACTTCAGCCCATTTTTCGTCAAAAGACGAGCAGAGAGGAAAAAAGAGAGAGGGGGGGGAATGGGAGAGAGAGAGGGAGAGAGAGAGAGGTAGTCCTCCTCTCTCACTCAACGAATCGATAGAATGGGGATGAAAATAATATATCGAGACCGGTGGAGACGAAGGAATTAGGATTTGCCGGCAACACGTGGCACTTTTCGATACCGATTAACGAGATCCTACGATCTAATCTTCGTTATTCTTCGAAAAATATTCACATTTCGTGGAGACATTGAAGATTTAAGAAAATTAATATAAATGATAATTTGAAACGTACAATAATATTTTTCTATACGTTCGATGATCGTACGAAAGCGCTTTAATAAATGATAGGCGAATAAAAAAAAAAACGAAAAAAAAAAGGAAATTCGATTATTATCAAGAACCGATCGATTTGATTTCGTTTGTTAATTATTAAAATCTCTTTTTATATATCGTTGTAATTAATGATAGGAACAGATACGATGCTCCTGTTAATTAACGCCTTTTATTTTCTTAAACTTCTCCCGCTAATCTCTCTATCTTTCTCGATCACGTTTGATCTAACGTCCGTCGAAAAGCACAAAATCGGAGAATTGATTTTGTGAGCCTCCCTTTTTTTTTTCTCTTTCTTTTTTTTTTTTTTTTTCTATTTATTTTCTCTTTCATTCAATTAACATCCTGCGTATCAAAGAGAGGTTTCATTGTTCAGAAAATCGACTCTCGTGAGAAAAAAGGGGGAAAAAAAATGGAAAAAGAAAAAAAGAGCAGAAAGAAAGAAAAAGGCCATAGAGAGAGAGAGAGAGAGAGAGAGAAAGAGAGAGAGAGAAGAAAAAAATACAGTTAGCAGAGTTCACTTTGGTAGAGAAAGAGATAGGAAGAGAACACCGGTTAGAGGATCAATTTGATTGCTCTTCCATAAAGGAAAGACTACAAAGAAAGAAGCGAAGTAGACATCAGTCGGGCTTCTACGAGCTTACGACAATGAAATTTTTCGTGACGACGATCGAACGACGATAGGATCGAATGTTGTAACTAATGATTCGAGATGACGAGAATCGATTTCGAGAATCGAACCATCGAATCTTTCAAGCGAAAAATAAGAAAACAAAGGGATGAAAAGCTATTGAATGAAAAAAAGGAGAAAGAGGAAAAAGAAGAAGAAGAAGAAAAAGAAGATGAAGAAAAAAACAAAAAGAAAACGAACGAGAAAGACGAAATGATGATTAAAAATTGAACTATCTCTTCTTCGTAAAAGAAAAAAAAGGGAACGATTAGAAATAAAAAAAAAAAAAGAAAAAAAGAAGAAGTTAGAAAGAGATTAAAAGAGGGACGAGAAACGATTCGGATTAATTATATATATATATATATATACATATATAAAAGAACAAAAGAAAAAGAAAAATTATTAAAAACATAAATGGTATCAGCGAGAGTTATATCTTGAATAGATAATGCGTGACGAGAAAGTATAGATAAATAACATCCTGCGTCTTTTTAAAATATGATTAGAATGAAAAACAAATTAAACATGATAGAGAATATGATTGAGATTATCGATTGTTAATAATAATATCGAACAATAGAAATCGAATGAACGTAATCACATCGATGTGATCCAATTTTCATAATAAATATTTCTAATCATTCGAACGAGGATAATGAAAGATAGAGCAAGAAAGAAAGAAAGAATGAAAGAAAGAATGAGATAGAGAGAGAGAAACAAGTAGTATATCCGTAAGAATTATCATACATCGTGATAAATCTTCATAATCCTTGAAAATAGGAAATGTCCAAAAGGATTGGTAGGAAGGATTTAATCTGACATTATAATACCTCAC